GTGACATTCAACTGAAGTCTGAAGAGATTCTACAGAATTAAGCAATTATTTTAAACTTAGTAATGACCCATCGGCGGACGATATCTCCAAATTTAGTGACATTCAACTGAAGTCTGAAGAGATCTTAATAGAACTCACTACTGAATTGAATAATCTTAAGGAAACGTCTAAAGAAACACGATTTAATAATTCTGTGGTTACCAGTAAGCTACCCAAATTAAATCTTCCAGAATTTGATGGAAATATCCTCCTGTGGCAGCAGTTTTGGGATCATTTTTCCTCGAATATCGACGAACGTAATTTACCAGAAGTAGACAAGTTACTCTATTTAAAGTCGTCATTGAGCGGTGACGCTAAAGGAATCATCGATCGATTGGAAATTACGCACAAAAATTATCAAATTGCAGTTACCACGCTTTCAAATTCAAATTCAAATTCAAACTCATTTATTCAGTCTAGGCTGTTACAAGCTCTTGTGAAAGTCAAACGCTACGCCATCGGTTCGTAAATCTACGGCGGGAGACCTTGTACTGAGAAGAACCGGCAAGAAACTCAGCAAGGGCTATTTTTTTCTCCCTGTTTTGTTTCACACAGTGTCGTCAATTGAAAGATGACATCAAAAATTGAATACATGTGTTGATGTCAACTTCCATCACATTAATATTATTAATTAACAAAAGTTAAGTATAACTAGGTACTATTTTTAAATTTAGAAGTGGCGATTAAACAATTTTCAACCAAATTAGCAAAGTAAAACGACAGTCTATTATGTTAAGCCCAAGGTGACTTATCATTTATGAAATCTTTTACAGTATAGTAACCTTTCTTAAGGAGACATGTTTTTATACACACTTTAAACTTATTAAAAGGTAAATTAATTATTTCTTTTGGTATTTTATTATAGTAACATATACCTTGACCCACAAATGAACCAAGAACCTTTTGGAGTCTCAATGGTGGCAATTTGAGTTTATCTTTATTTCTGGTATTGAAATTATGTACATCATCGCGCCTGGTATATAAATTTATGTTCTGACGCACAAACAATATACAATTGTAAATGTATTGAGAGGCAACAGTCATTATATATATTTCTTTAAATTTATCCCTAAAAGAAGTTCGAGATCCCAAGCGGTAAATAGCTCTTAAAGCTCGTTTTTGAAGAATAAAAACTGTTTCAATGTCTGCGGCCGTGCCCCATAATAGAATGCCATACGACATAATGCTGTGAAAGTAGCTGAAGTATATTGTCCTAGCAGTGTCGACATCTGTAAGCCGTCTTATTTTATAAATTGCATAAGCAGCAGAACTTAGTTTACCGGCTAGTGTTGTAATGTGAGGGTTCCATTGAAGTTTGTGGTCTAGTGTTACGTCTAAGAAAACGGTTGTATCGACTAAAATTAGTTTTTCACCATTTAGAATTATATCCCCCATTTCAACATGCTTTACATTCGGCAAAGTAAATTTCACACATTTAGTTTTGCTCGCATTCAGTTTAAGATTATTAGAAGAGAACCAGTGAAGTACCTTGGAAAGTGTATTGTTTACATCGTCATAATTTGTTTTACACCTGTCAACGTTAAAAATTAGCGATGTGTCATCTGCAAACAAAACAATTTCACAAAAATTTTCTACAAAGAAAGGTAAATCATTAATGTAAATTAAAAAAAGAAATGGACCTAAAATTGAACCCTGTGGAACGCCTATTTTCACATGAGATCCGGCTGATTTTGTAACGTTAATATCAACTATTTGTGTCCTTTCTGTTAAATATGATTGCACTAATTTTTGTGCGGAATCTTTTAATGCCGTAATGATTTAATTTCCGTAACAAAGTTTGATGATTAACGCAATCAAACGCTTTAGATAAATCGCAGAAAACCCCAAGAGCATTCTGCGACTTTTCCCAAGCATTAAATATATATTTTAGCATAGTGGCCCCAGCATCAGTCGTGGAACGGTTTTTAGTGAAACCGTCCTGCGCTCTGTGTAAAAGTTTATTAATGTTAAAATGAATCAACAATTGTTCTAACATTATTTTTTCAAAGATTTTACTCAATGCTGGTAATATAGATATTGGCCTATAGTTGCTAGGATCTTTACAATTTCCAGACTTAAATAAAGGTATGATTTTACTGAATTTCATAAGATCAGGGAATACTCCCTGATCTATACATGAATTAAAAATATCAGCTAGGTAAGGGGCTATAGAATGTATAATATTATTTATGACTTTGACAGATATACCCCATAAATCAGATGCATTTTTAATTTTTAATGAATGGAAAACTTTAATAATTTTAAAAGAACTAACGTGCTTGAAATTAAATAATAACCACACGGAGGTACATATTTTTGTAACAGAGCTGTAGCAGTATCAGACGATGAGTCCAAGTTGGAAGTAGTTTCTAATGGTATATTCATAAAAAAATTATCGAAAATATCTGCGACTTCATGTTTCGATTTTACGAGATTATTATTGATTTTAAGAACCATGCTATTTTCACGAGGCTTACACTTGCCACTTTCGCGCTTAATGATATCCCAAGTGGTCTTTATTTTATTACTAGATTTTTTAATTTTATCCCTAATAAAATTGGACTTTGCAGTATTACATATGCTTTTAAACAATTTGGAATATTTTCTAACATAGTTAATAAACTCAGGATCCTGGTTATATTCTTTGATTCTATAAAGCTCATACAGCCTTGTTCTACTCTTATATATACCACTTGTCGCCCAGTCACAGAACTGCAACTTCTGTGTACATTTACTGGTTTTCAGTCTGAACGTATTTTGAAATTCATTATTTATTAAATTAAAAAGATTTTTGTACAAAATATCCGGATCATCATGCGTCCAAGGCATTAAAGGAAGTTTATCGCTAATGTTATTTTTAAAATTATTAACGCGCTCATTTGTTATAGGTCTACACTCTATTATGTTCGGCTCAGTACTGACATTGAAACTATATGTTGTCTTTAAACCGAGATGATCGGAAGTAATATCACTAAAGACTGACTTTTCAATTGCATCCAATTCAGAAAAAAAGTGGTCTAAACAAGTGGCTGAGTGAGATGTAACTCTGGTTGGTTCAGTAAACTGGAAATTTAAATTAAAACATTTAAACAAAGTAATTAACCGAAGACTCAAAGAGCTATTTTCAAGTAGATTGACATTAAAATCACCACATACTATTACAGATTTATTTTTTAATTTATTGAGAGAGTCCTCCATGACTGATTCAAATGTACCAAAGTTTCCTGAGGGGGGCCGGTATACACATACTATATAAAAATTTACTAACTCTACACACGACAGCTCAACATGGCGTTCCACTGAAAGGCTTACAATGTCCTTTCTTTCCTTACATTTTACATGATGTTTTACAAAAATTAAAGACCCTCCATGAATAGCTGTCCTGCGTACAAATGCACTGAATAGTTGAAAATTGTTTAAATAAAATGACATTTCATGTTGTTGCAGCCAGTGTTCAGTTATGCACATGATATGAGTTTCATGACTTTTAGCTAATAATTCTAACTCTAAGTCTTTGCCGGCCAAGCCCTGGATATTTTGGTGAATAATATTGACATAATGGGGCTTAGCTTTTGTCATACGCTTCAGTTCAAATCTAAAGAGTTTATTGTAGAACTACATTTATCAAAAGATTTGAATTAGTACAAGTACTAATGTCAGTTTTAAAAGAAGTAATTACAATTTGTAAATTAAAAGCTAACAAATTAGCTAATTGTGTCCGAGATTTCTTTGAAAGATACATAGTATCTGAAGTCAGTTTAAAATTGCTAATAAATTTTAATAAATTTGACATTAATATGTCAAAAAACAAAATGACGTCACTATGACGATTAATCAAATTATACAAGTATGTATTTAAATCAAAAATGCGCTTATTTTCATCCCACGTCAAATTTTTAGCATAAGGGAAAGCGCTGATTATTAATTTGCAGTTAGTTTCTCCTTGTAACTTTAATAATACATTAAAATTAAGCTTAAAGAGCGTTACGGGAAACCTAACCAAATTATCGATGCTCACTACGCTGCCTTGTACAAAATCAAATGTGCAAGCAACACAGCTGCTGAATGTCGTAAAACGTTAAATGAAATAGAGAAACACATTAGGGTATTAGGTGCGTTAGGAGAAAATACAGAACATAATCATCTGAGATTTATCATCACTGAGAAATTTCCTGAAGATATTATTTATGAAATGAAGATTTCACTGAAATCTGATTCTATTGAGGACATGAGGAAGCAACTGAAAATTATTATTTCGGCCAGAGAAGAAACTAGCCGAATCAAACAAGAAAGAACATCGAATAATGATAGTTATACAGTAGAGACACTTCATGCGAGGGATAAGATAAAATCAAAACCACAACAGTTTGTACAAAGGAACTTCCGTAATAAGGAAAGACTAAACGAAATGAGAAGGAAACCGTTTGTGAATAACGTAAGAACCTTTTACACAAAAAACAACTATCGTAATAATGGTAATAATTACCGTCCAACACCTAATTATCAAATACAAAATACGTCATATGCTAATAAAAGAAAAGGAGAACATCTAAACAATAAGGACTTTGTTTCAAAACGAATCAAACTTAGACCCTGTATTTTCTGTCAACAACAACACTTGAACGACAAATGTAGAACAGTAAAAACGTTGGATCAAAGAAAGGAAAAACTAGGTCAACGATGTTACAATTGTTTCAGTCCAAACCACCAACTCAACGCTTGTTCCGTCAAAAGGAGTTGTTTCTATTGTTGAGTTATAGGAAAACACAACAAGGCTATCTGTCCTAAACGTTATTCATACCATGGAGGAAGACCAAGAGGTACGTCATCCAACAAGTAGCTAAACAACTTAAACTACCAATAATTGAAGAACAACATCTATCAGTTTTTACATTTGGATCAAACCATCCCCATGAATATGAAAGCGCATTAGTTAAACTGCCTATTTCAACAAAGACCGAAACAACTATTATTCTTTATGCTAACATTGTACCCACAATAGCTCAACAAGTTTTTTATCCTGAAAAGGAATTGAATCAATGGAAGGATAAAATTTTATTAGCCGATGATGGTTCACTTGGAGACCAGGTAGATATACTCATTGGAAACGATTACTACTTCACGATCATAAATACAGATAAAAAACAGATTAGTGACAATCTATTTTTGGTAAATTCACAACTCGGTTGGATAGTAACCGGCAAAAGAGAATTCGAAGTAAAAGACAACCTTACGGTAAACACTTACTTTCAATCGAGCGCAGAAGTTAAACTAATCAAACCTGACTTGCCAATAGACAACACCAACCTAAAGAATCTATGGGAGTTAGAATGCATTGGGATCACAGATTCACCTAAAATTACTAAGGAAGAGGATGCAGTAAAAAACTTTAATGAGTCAGTTCAATATTCCGGTAAAAGATACTGTGTCAGTTGGCCATGGAAAGAAAATTTACCCAATTTACCCACCAATTTAGGACTGGCCAAAGGAAGGCTGGTGAATCTATTAAAACGCATCAATAAAGAAACTTTGAAATTATATAATGAAACTATACAAACACAACTAGAAAAGGGAATAATAGAAGTTGCACCTTCGGAAGAACAGGAATGCAGCAAATATAAGATGCATTACTTACCTCATCATGGAATACAAGCTTCAGGAAAGGATTTGAGGATCGTCTATGATGCCTCAGCTAAGGTAAAAAATAGTTATAGTCTAAACGAATGTCTTAGAGCAGGACCCATTCTACTAGAAGACCTGACAAAACTCTTAATAAGATTTCGATCACATAGAATCGGTTTGACAGCTGATGTGGAGAAAGCCTTTCTACAGATTGGTCTGCAAGATGATAGCAAGGATGTAACTAGATTTTTATGGATCAAAGACATAACCAAAGCAGCAACTGAAGATAACTTAGTACATCTTAGATTCTGTCGTGTACCTTTCGGAGTTATATCAAGTCCATTTCTTTTAAACGCTACAATTAAACATCACTTACTACGTTCCAACAATAGAAGCGTACAGCAAGCCTCAGAGAATATTTACGTAGATAACTTAGTTACAGGAACCAAAACTAAACTCCAAGCGATAACATTACATAACAAGCTAAAGCAAGAATTCAAGAAGATTTCAATGAGCCTAAGAGAATGGAGTTCAAACTCAAGAGAATTTATAGAAAATGTTACAGATGTGAATGAGGAAACAATAGTTAAAGTTCTTGGATTAAACTGGAACACAAAAGAGGACACATTACAATTGAGACCTAAAACTATAGATCTACAAACAACTAAAAGAGGAATTTTGAAAACCATCGCATCCGTCTACGATCCATGTGGATATGTAGCACCTTCATTATTGTCTCCAAAGTTGTTTGTATAAGAATTGTGGAAGAACAAGACCAAGTGGGACTCACAGTTAATAACTGAAAACATAGAACAGTGGAGACCATTACACGAAAAACTACACAATTGTCAAGCCAATATACAGAGATATTACACAGAAAACTTTGAAGACAATAAAAACCAGTTACACTGTTTTACAGATGCTTCAGCAAAAGCATACGCAGCAGCAGTATATGTAGTAAACGAAAATGGTATAACCTTTGTAATTGGTAAATCGAGATTAACTCCTATAAAAGATCAAGACAATCTACAAATACTTCGTTTGGAACTATTAGGTGTATTAATCGGAACTCGGTTACTAAATTACGTAGAATCAGCTCTTCAAACAAAGATAGAACAACATTTCTTATGGACAGATAGTCAAATAGTTATAGACTGGTACAACTCAGACAAATTATTAACACCATTTGTAAGCAGACGCATGGAAGAAATAAAAATCTTATAATGCGATACGTACCAACTGAATTGAATCCAGCGGATGTAGCAACACGACCCAATAAGAATAGAACAGGATTACTGGCTTGAAGGCCCAGAATTTATGTTACAACATCCTAGCAATTGGCCTAAAAGAACCAACCTGATTAAGGAACACTTGGTCTGGGCGTCGGAGGATCCGTCAAAGTCAGACAATAGTTTGACGGCTGTTCACCAAGTTAGGGAAATACCAAAGAACACAGATAATCCAAAGGAACAAAGGACCGAAATCGAAGTGATAAAGGAAATTCAAGCACAATATTATCCAGATGAAATGAATATGAAAACAACTAATCTTAGTCGTAATCTTCGTTTGTTTAAAGATGACGAAGGAGTTTTAAGATGTAAAGGGAGACTAGAAAATACACAATGGTCATTCGATATGAAATACCCAATATTACTTCCAAAAGACTGCTACTTTACAAACAATTTGATTAAGAAAACTCATCAGGAGATAGTTCTCCTCCTCCTCCTCCTCCCACGTAGGAGTAAATCATACATTAAGCATAATTCGTAAACACTTTTGGATTCCACAAGGAAAAGTACAAGTAATTAAAGTCTTAAGGCAATGTCCAAGATGTATCAAGCATGGAGGCGGTCCATTCACATTACCAGATACACCTTCACTACTAAAAGAACGAGTGAATTACAGTTCACCTTTCACGTTCACGGGAATAGATTACCTAGGTCCAGTTCTAGTCAAAACTGACCAAGGAACTGCTAAAAGGTGGATTTGTTCATTCACATGTTTAGCCATAAGAGCCATACACCTGGAGATTGTACAAGACCTAACCGCAGAAGAAGGACTTCTGGCTTTAAGAAGAATGATATCCACACGAGGAATACCAAACTTGATAACTTTAGATAACGCCACACAATTTAAATTAATAGCAGAAATTCTAACTAGTTCCTATTGCAAACAGAAAGAAATCCAATGGAAATTCATACCTCAATTAGCTCCATGGTTTGGAGGATTTTACGAAAGATTAGTAGGTTTAGTCAAACATTGTATGAAAAGGACTCTACAGAAACATCTCTTGAATGACAATCAGTTGATGACGATAATAAAAGAGATTGAAGCTATATTAAACACAAGACCTTTGACGTGCGTAGATTCTGAAATGATACATATTTTAACTCCTTCCGACTTCCTCACAATGGGAAACACTATAAGCATTGATACCAATATAGAGGATATACCCGTAACGGGGGCAACAACCAAAATAAACCTAGTCAAGTCATGGAAAAGGACTTTGATTATTCTAGAAGAATTTAAAGACATATTTATGAACCGTTATTTACCTAGTTTTCGTGAGCGAATCCAAAATTCAGTTAAGGAACCAAGAGTCAAATCAGCATTAAAACCAGAAGTAGGACAAATAGTTCAATTAAGAGGAGACTCTAAAAATCGTGAAAGCTGGAAAGTGGGGAAAATAGTCTCACTTACTCCAGGAGACGATGGTCTTATAAGAGTAGCAAAGGTTAGAGTTGGGATCACAGAATACACTCGATCTATTTCACAACTGTACCCGCTAGAGGTAAATGAAATTGATGATGAAACGCAAGCGACCAACCTTCAGATAAATCAACATTTGTAAGTCATGCCTATACGCCTGAAATTGAAAAATTGCCTCTAGAAGATTTCGCAAATCACAATGAATCCCTAAGGGAAAGTAACCCAGATACAATAGTGCTAATACATGGTGATGATTTATCTGATCATGAAACTAACAAGACAGACTCACATGATGGTGACACAGTTAATATGCCACAAGTTATAAGACACTCCAGACCAGTACGTGTCGCTGCGACCAAAGCCTTGGAAAAGATCCAAGAGTGGACTCGCAGCCTTTTTAACACTCTTTAATCTCGCCGTTGGGAGTGTCGCGACGGCAACACCAGTCGCGATGTTTGAGGTGGCAACACATATCAATTGCCGCTATAACTAATGTCAATGTCAAGTAAGCCGCTCTTTTTTCTCTTCTTGTTTGTTGTGCTATTTTAACTAATATACTATTATTACCTTGTACTATTATTTAATAACTGTTATGTGCCATAAAAATGTGCCTACCTGATGCGTGCCTGTCTACGAGCTCGAGAACCAACGGAATATAACGAAAGCTAAGTAGTAGAATAGTTCACATAAATGATAGCCGGTTTGTATCTCATGAAAAGTTTGGATGTGTAAAAATAAGCGCTTACCTGCGCACTTGATATTAACCTATGTACCTGTGGGTACCGGCACGGTAAAGAGATACTCTCTCACAAGTTGAAAGCGCCGGAGAGTATGGGCGTGAAACGCCTGTGGCATTGACATAATTATATAACAATATAAAAGGAGGTAAAGAAATACTCTCTCACACGGCGAAAGCGCCGGAGAGTATGGGCGTGAAACGCCTGTGGCATTGACATAATTATAACAATATAAAAAAAGGAGGGCTTGAACTTCTGCAGGAGGCAAGTCCTAGGGTACCCTACCAAGAGGCCACAAGAGAGTGTTATGGCATGCGCAGCGCCATGTCTGGACGGAGCTGGAATAGTGGCTGAGCCAGATGGAGGACGCTCCACAGTAGTGCCATAAGAAGTGGGCGACGCGACTCTTGCATGAGGGCGCACACATGCAGGGGTTGCGTGGGGAGCAGGCGACGGCCTTGGCTCTCATGCTCACACCGCTCTGCAGGAGCGTAGGACACATGGCATAAAGTCATGTTAGGAAATCTCCGCATCGTTTAGACAGCTAAAGTAGGTTGTTGAGTTAACATGGGTAATTGACATATAGATGATCTTGATACTCATTTATGACAATATTTATGTGTTCTATGAATCCTGGAATCATACCGTGGTGATGGTGTGACTCCGGGACTTAGTGGCACCACGCAGTGGTGTCATAATTTTATTTATACTTACAGATGGAGTAAGAAAGTGATGAGAGGCATGGACGGACATTCGCTGGTGCTTGAAGGTACATACAATATAATCTGTGGTAAGTAATCACCCTTCGTCTCTCGATTCTCCCTTTGTCACGTGTCTATCGTCAAAATCTCGCGATCCACGGTGGATACGTTTGTATCACGGATATGGGCTGCATTGGCAGCCCCGCCCCCAAGAGGGTCGCGACAGCGCTGGCACCGCCCTTTGAAATTAATGAACAACTACGCTTCAATCTGCTTCCTTTATGTAACTGCACTAGCACCTTTGCGTAAGGAGGATAGTTTTAGTAGGCCCGTGTGGATTGGTGCAGTGATATGATATAAAAATTTGATGCAGGCTCGTCACGATATTGTGAGAGGTGACGAATCCTGGATTTATCAATACGATCTAGAAACGAAGCGTCAGTCGATAGTTTGGCTGTTTCAAAATGAACCAACGCTTACGAAAGTGAAGCGATCGAGAAGCGCAGGGAAAATTTTTATCGCTGGTTTCTTCACTTTCACGGGGTACCTAATTTCAATTCCACTTCGAGACCAAAGCAGCATCAACGCCGAATAATATAGCACAAAATGCCTGCCAGAAGTTTTTTCTCCAATGAGCAACAAGCGACCTAACACCGGGCTCAGCGGTATCCTTCTTCACCGCGATAATGCGCCCGCGCACTCTGCTATCAAAAAGAAGGACTTCCTGGACTTTACGCCAGTCAGAGTCTTGGGACACCCTCCTTACAGTTCTGATTTGGCTCCGTGTGACTTCTTTTTATTCCCTAAAATAAAAAATCAGCTCAAAGGGATACAGGGTTCATCGCCGGAAGAAGCGCTAGCAGCGTTTGAGAAGGCCGTGGAAGAGGCGTCTGCGGAGGACTGGAAAAATGATTTGAAAATTGGTTCAGACTTATTTTCGCGCCTATGTTTCATATCTGGCATAGTATAGGGACTCGGGTTAGGCCGTATACAGAAAGAAAGCTGGAATCCGACCAGTACGTGTCCGTGATGCTAGCGTACCCACGATCAATATACGGTTTTTCGTTATGCCATTAAATAGTGCGTAAATAGTGCCAAATTAGTGTAAAAATAATATAAATAGTGCCTCTTTAATTTAAGAAATAAGTACCATTTTTACTATATATGTATTTTTACTAAAATAAATAGGTACTTTTTATAAAAAGATATTATATTTCAATATAATATCTTTAGAATTCACCAATCATAAATTCATATAAGAATTTCAACCTACCTACCTACCTACCTACCTACTAAGTACCTTACTTACCTACTATACTACGAAAATATTATCACTTCTGTACATGACTGTACTTCATATATAAAAATAATTTAATTGCTTTTTGAAGTTATACTTCTTTAGGCGCGTTATGAAAAAATGATGAGAGTGAAATTTTAAGATGCGCGCGCATCACTGTAACACAAAATTTTAACAGCATGAAGTTGGTTACCAACTTCATTCGTTACTTTTGTGTTTACCGCACATTAAGAAAATCTACCAACAAAATAGAAATAGAATCTCTATTTAGTGGGTGCTAACGACTGCATTGTGAAGGCCTATCAAAAGTATTTATTAATCTGGAACAACGGAACCAAAGCGCGATTCAGGAAACTACAGCGCCATCTCTTGACCATTGGTGTAGTAGAACCAAAAACCACATCTTTATTTTTTGTAATAAAGTAACAGTTATAGGTATTCATATTTATAATATTTATCCACATGTTTCTAGTTTGTATATTCGGAATACGTGTTTGAGTTTCATACAAGTGCAAATCACATATGTTCTAATAAATTATATTCAGTAGCGATTTTAATTGAATATTTTGATTATTTATTTATTTTTTCAAATTAAAACTGAACTTCATTGACTGTGTCCTTTTCCAGACTTTTTATTAATTTATTGTAATTAATTATTTGCATGCAATTAAAAACTAATTTTAAACGATGCCAAAGAAGGATAACTTCTCACGCGCCTACATAAGTACACGCACCCATTTTTTTTATATTGTTTTGCTGAGAATTAACATAAAATACTTTAACTGTTAGAGGCACTATTTATACATATGGAATTGATAACGAGAAAAGATCATTTTCTATGAGAACTATTATGGGTACGCCAGGTTGACGCCAGCTAAGAATGTTTAGTTCAATATCTTTGGTCCTTTAAGAGTATTGATTATGAAATTTTGTAAAGCCAGGGCACTATTTGCGAACTATTTTTGTGTGTCAATTTTGTTGCTTAAATAGATGCTGTTCTTGGGGTCGGCCATGGGTACGCTAGCTTGACGTCATGGTAGCGTACACAGTAAAAATGGTCTTTATTTCTTAAATTAAAGAGGCACTATTTTTTTTATTTTTACACTAATTTGGAGTGACGCAGTATTTAATGGCATAACGAAAAACCGTATATTGATCGTGGGTACGCTAGCATCACGGACACACCAGTACTTGTCAGCGCTGATCCTTACTTGTAACAGTTACATAAAGGAACCAGATGCGTAGTTGTTCATTAATTTCAAAGGGGCTTGTCGGCGCTTATCCATAGAAATACTTGCGCCTTTTACCAGCAAGGACCACAAGCGCTGGTCGGCTTCCAGCGTTCTTTCTGTATACGGCCTTAAAGAACATATCGCAGATATGAAACATAGGCTCGAAAATAAGTCTGCAGTGTGTGAACATGCATTAAGGGGACCAAACCCTTACATTAGATTTGATAAGCCACAGATTCTTGCAACTGAACAACGATTCATTTCTTGAATGATGCGCGAGGCTATTGAGATTAAAAAATATCCAATTTTCAATAGGGAAGAAAGTTGGTATATACCACCGGTTTGGGAACCCATTATACAACAGATAAAATCCCAACCCCGAGCACACACTGCAAGACCAACAAAATACTATTAGTTCTTTTTGTTTGCATAATTTAAGAAGAAGATAGAAAGCCTCTCTGAGTTTGTCGGTTCTTCTCAGAAAGGTCTCACAATTTTGGAACCGGTGGTAGTTTACGGTAGTAGGGTCAAATAAATAACTCAAAAGATTTTTAAATAAAGTACTTTAATTAACTAAATTAGCTAATAAAATCATACATAGACAATAAAGTTTTAAAAATCTTCGCGCTCAATAAAAGGCTTTCGAAGGTAGCTCGACAAAGTAAATAAAAAAACATTATTCTGACGATAAATAAACAATAAATAAATCTATTTAGTACATTAACCATTAAAATACTAGTTTTATTTAGGGAAGACGGAGGCACCTTAGCACAGGGGCGGATTTGAACATGTTGATTTCTGAACGTAACTTTATGTTAATTTATGCCGTAACTACATTTTAATAATTTAATATTGGCATCACTGGCTGTTGGCTGTGACAAACGTCAAGTAACAAAGCGCGCGCGTTTCGTTTCCAAAAATATTAATAAACTGTCGTCGTATTTGTACCGATGAAGTAAAAAATAAAAATAAATGTTGTAAGGGATTTACTATCACGTGAGTAAAGGTTTCCAACTAATTCTTTCACAAAATTGTGCACAAATTATTAGTTTTCAACCCACCTTGTTGTTTTTGCTTGTCAGTTATTTCACTTTTTTTTTTGTAATATTTTATTTTCCAAGTGACCGTGGGGCAGATTTGAACAAAGCTAACGGGGCAGATTTGAAAGGGACGTTCAAATACAAACTTCATATGTTTTCTTACAAGTTTAGTATTAAGTTTAATAATAACAATAACATAACAATAAACTAAAACTCTTGTGCACTATGATTACTTTTGTTAACAAGGAGGAAGTCCAACACAATGAAAATACTATTTTTATTACTGTAATGCAAGATGTAACTTTAGAAGTTTCGTATAAGTTTATTTTATATTTTATTACAATAAATATTATAATAAAGGCAAATTGTATCCTCTCTTTTTCTTGTTTTTAACCCATTGTTCAAAACTGCCCTTGTCGATTTAAATGTGCCCCCCGGGAGGCAGATTTGAACAAACTTGTGTTTAAAAAAAAACACATTATTTCTCTTTTCTTTTTAACATTTTCAGCAAATTCAAACATTTCATCATTTTTATATTAACAAAGGAGTAAGTAAGCTAAGAAACCTATGTATCTTCAATTTATCTTTACAGTTGATTAATTCCAAAGAGTTGATAGGAGTTTTTCATAACACAGGTTATGCATCTAAGATTGTGATTAAGATTTAGTTTTAAAAGTGCTCTATTTATAGTAGAGGATACCTTTTGTATATCAGAACCTGAGAGGTAAATGACCAAGTAATCAGCAAATTGCAACTTTTTTACATGTGATCCTAAAATTATGTTTAGTTTGTGTAGGTACTCAAAAAATGTAAAACAATGGAGACATAATTCCTCCTTGACAGACACCTGTATATGAATAGCATGGTCCTATTAATTGATTATTAGACTTGACATAAACCTCACAACCATGTATACAATATATTGAAAGGACAAATATTTAGCTCATCACTTTGTTCATAAGATTCAATATTATAAATGCGGTCTCTCAGACCTCACGTTGGTACTAATGTTACAAAAAATGCATGTCGGTACTAAAAGGTTAAAGTCTAAGCACCATTAAGTAGGTATTATGATAATATTATTACTTATAATATCTAATTACTTTTCAGTATTTTAGTATATTGTTAAAATACAGTAGTCATATGCTTAATTAAAACAAAATAGTGAAGAGATTTTGACTTTATTGCTTAATTACCAGGAAATGTGTCCGAAAGTAAACCACCCAACTGCACGTATGTGGGTAAAATGTGTCTGATGTTAAAACACTATATTTTCTTTTTGCGCTTTTTTGATTGTCTTATACTGACTTCTTCTTTGTCTGTTTGATTATCTGAATCTGTGCTTTTTGTTTTGATCTTCAATTTATCTATTACAGCAACATTATCCTTTTTTCCGCATTTTGTTGAGCTTAAATCGCCATTTTCAGGTTTTCTTTCTGGTGACATGTCACATATTTGATCTACGCAAGATTTACCATGATCTTTACTTTGCTTTTGTGTATGTGGTTTTGTTTTATCAAAATTAATATAGGAAACACTTATCGACTCATTTGAGTATTCTTCTACCTCATTGTCATCATCAGGAAATTGCTTTAACCATCTGTGTAAAATAAAAGGAATAGGTATGTTAAATTGAACATTGAATTATAAGCTTTGCCTTAATAAAAATTACTTATATAAACATTATCACCTTTCATCTAACTGTCCTCTGATGTATGGTAAAGCTCCAAAAAGGTCAAGGACAACAATTTGAAAAACAACTTGTTGCCCTTCTTCAATACCCTCACCAATCCACTTATTTCCTGGTTCTTCAGTGGGCCTTGGTATAACAACATTAAATACTCTGCAAATACATAGGTTAATTTATTCAATTTAATTAACTTGTACAGTGTAACCTCAGACCAAATATTTGGTCTGAGAGTGTAACATTTAATTTATAAATGGAGATATTTATACATACCTGTGAACAAGGATACCGAGATGCGTAGAGCTCTTTTTATTAACTACTCCTTTTAAAGTCGCCCCCACATATGGAGTAAATATGAAATAATCAGCTTGTACTTGAAAATGAATATCTGCATTATCATTTCTTATTGATCCAACATTTTGCAATATGCAAAGATTTTTGTAACTTAAGAGTATGCCATTAAACCTATAAACAATACAAATAATAATAAACAACACATTTTCCAGATTAATGGTGAAGTAAAAGATTTGTCGCCTCCTGATAAACAATTAGATCAAAGCTAGTAACCTAAAAACGTACATGTATTTATAACCTACTCTTTATCGAATTTCCCAATTTTGTAATCCAGTAATGTTTTTACAGATTCTTTTGGATTGCCTAAGCACCAAGGTTGCAAAGCCAGATTTTGAGTAACTTTTTTTTCCACGACACAGGAATTCTTATCATTAACTAATTTCCTTAGCTCTTTTAAATCAAATGTAATTATTGTTGACATTTTGCTAATGTATTGACATAGAGAAAAGTAATAAGCATTGAGCTCACATAGTTTTTTTTTGTGTGTCTGTGGCTTTCTCTGTTTTATGGAGGCCACACACGTTAGGTTTTGCATGATGGTTTTAACCGTGCATTCATAACCGACATGCTTAACCGAGTTACATGCACCGAAAACTGTATAGTTTTATCACATACACGTAAGGGCTTGCCTGTCGGTTATGCATGTTCGGCTAAAACCATAATGCAAAACCAAATGTGTATGGCCTCCATTACACAAAGATTTAAATCGTTAGCCCTATTACAAATCTGCACTCTGCGAGAATGGGTATTTGAAGCGTTCCCGACAACTCATTGAAGGTCATGAGTTTACAATACTGTGTTGAACCTACGACCAAGCGATTTTGATACTTTTTTCCAAGTTTTGTATATTTTTAGTATTTCTATGTAGTAATTCGTTATCGCTATACCCGCACATTTTTAGAGTGCCATGGAGGTTCTCATAAGTGAATAAACAGATTAAATGAAGATGATACCATAAATATGACAGACAGAATTTGTTTTTTATGTTTTTCGTTTTAGATTAAAATATAAGATTAGATATTTATTATTATATATATATTTTTCATATATATATTACTATTATGTTTGATTATTTACATGACATCCTTTTTTTTTTTTTTAATACGCAGGTAAAAAATCTATTTACAGACGACGGCGCCTTTAAGAGGCACACCGCCGAACGGACCTCACACCTGGCTCCCGCAAGTCTTACGAACCCCCCAGTGGCTGCCCACCGAGGACGCCACAACTCTTACGGGCGCTTTATGGTATAATATCCGCTAAAAAAGTCCTGCGAATACCCTCTAAGCTGCTTAGCGCGAAGCCGCGGGATCCTCGTTTAGGGATTCTCCGCGTCTCCGCACCTAGCAGCAAGCCGGGGCTCCACGGCAGGGGTCTCCCGGGGTATCGCGGGGACCCCGCAGACGTGCGCGGGTATGCCCGCGCGCGGGGGCTGAGTACGCGGCCTAGTGCCCACCGTACCGCCCCCCCGTCCGCTGCGGAGGGCTACTTGGGCGTGCCCGTGTAGCTCCCTCCGCCGCCCCCCTCTTTGCAGGACAGAACTACAAGGGGGGGCTGCCGTCACGGGGTCCGTCGGTGGCCGGCACGGCCATCGCCATGCCGGTCAGCGAGGGACCCCTCGGGTAGGGTCATGGGACGGGAGCAGCCAGGGCGCGCCGCCGTCCTCTCCTATCCGTCCTCCTTTGGCGGGAGGGAGCGGCCAGAGGATCATCCTCCCGCTCCCTCTCAGCCGCCTCCTTCTGCGAGATGACGTTCTCGCAGAAGGAGGCGGCTGCCTCCCACGCCCTGTCGTTGTCGCAGCGAGAGGGCTCCGCATCCCAGCGCCGCAACGAGGTCGCGGCGCTGGTGTCGCCAGGCCGGGCACTCAAGTACGGTGTGCTCGGCCGTGTCGTCCGGGGCGCCGCAATGATGACATTGCGGCGTCTACTCCCGACGTGCGACACGGTGCAGATAGTGACCGAAGCATCCATGCCCGGTCAAGATCTGCACCATGCAGAACGTGAGGCCGCCGCGCCGGCGACCCAACCATTCCTCCAACACCGGACGAATGGCTTCTATCGTCCGGTGGCCGGCGCTAACATGGGCGAGTGCCTCATCCCATCGCCGCAGGGCTTCGCTCTCGGCGATGGAACGGACTTGCCTCAGCTCTGCTTGGGCAAGTCTTTCACCCCGCTCCCTGGCCTCGACCCGACCTCGATGCATTTCTGCCAGAACCTGTGCATCGAGGTCCCACGGCGTCGCGCCTGCGAGCACGCAGGCGGCGCCGTGGCTGACCGTGCGGTACGCTCGCACGGCCCGGGTCGCGATGACCCTCTGTGGACGTCGCAAGAAGGCCCTCGTGCGGGGTTTGAGGCACTCAGCCCAAACCGGGGCTCCGTAAAGTGCCATCGACCGTATCACCCCGTGATACAGTCGACGGCACGCAGCACCTGGTCCCCCCACTTTCGGGAGGACCCTGCCGAGTGCGGCTGCAGCGGCACACAGCATTTACATGACCTCCTAAGTCAGAACTACCTATTTGCCAAATTTCAATCAAATCGATCTAATGGTTTTTGTGTGAAAAAGCAACAGTCATGAGCTTATTTCAGATTCATCATATTATAACCTGCCCGCTGAGAGAATGCGTTCTTGACATTTGTCAGTTAGTCATATTATAACGGTATATTACTCTTAGCCACCGCGGTTTCCTGCTATGAGGTGGCCAATAGGAATACCCTGTTACGAGTAACACACAGATGTCAGAAATGTACTCCCTCAAAAATAAAACGTTTTTCTTGTAACGAATCAAACTCTAACTCAATATCATTTATTCAGTCTAGGCTGTTACAAGTATTTATGAATGGCGAAATGCTATGCCACCGGTTCGCAAATTGTACTGAGAAGAACCGGCAAGAAACTCAGCAAGGGCTCTTTTTCTCCCTGCCATTATATACAAAGCCGTCAAACTTAAAATTGACTTCAATATGAGATAATTCATGAAGTCATTTTCCGTCACAAACACAAATAAAATATATAAAAAATACTAACACTTTAAAAATACTTATTTAACACTTACTTTAAGAACGACGTGTAGGACACTTAAGACATAATAAAAAAGTACGATTACTGTCAAATATAACGATATCATTATCAGCCGACGGACGTCCAAGCTGGGCATAGGCCTCCTCAAGGGATTTCCATAAGAAACGATCCTGCGCTCTCTGCATCCAGTAGGTCCCCCTGACTCGCTTGATGTCGTCACTCCACCTCGTGAGGGGTCTAGCGACACTGCGCTTCCCGGTTCGAGGTCGCCATTGAAGCTCCTTGGGACCCCATTTAATGTAGCAAGAGCAGACCCATCTCCGCTGGCAGCACCCATTAACCAGCATGACGCATGAACCAGCCATCGCTTCGCTCAACCATGTTTTAGGGAACGTAACGATCCGCCTCACATGACACCGCCAAAGAGACTTAAGAGAGCATGACAATTCCTTATTTACATATAGATACTAGATTGCGAATAGAAAAAAAAAGAAATAAGTACCTGTGTACATTATTACAAATAACACAACTGCAGGACATATGCATGAGAATACCTATACACTATAACATCTTAAATAGAAAAATAATATGTAGTTGTTGACCTACATTTGATTGCTGTGTCAAAAATCATTACAATAATACAGTAGTGATAATGTCTGGATATTTTCTTTATCCATCGGAAATAATAATGTTTTCTTGGCAGAGAAGTTATTCATTCTGAAATAATGACATTATAAATGATTGGTGCTGAATATCTCTTATACTTTAGCAGGGTTGACAGAGTTTCACATCAGGTGCACCAGACATTCGATGTTTAGGTCATTACAAAATACTCATTGTGTCTACATTTGTATCTCTTCCAGTTTGGCTGGGCTTCTATGGTTCCAAATTAGTTATACCTATCTTCAAAATAATATTTATTACAGAGTACGAATAACAATACAAAAACAAAATTTCATCAACATTATAAGAAGACAATTTAAAAAAAATGCAAAATTGGCCCGTTTACATTTTTATTATATGTTAATATTATATATATATGGTATGCCAAAAAAAATAAATATTAATATTAAAAGAATAATTGAACACAATGCTATGTAGATTCCATATAAAACAAACACTTAAAAGAATTATACTTACCTGATCAAAACTTGTTGGTCGCATTATACTCTGACGCTCGATCGATTATGGCGCAAAAAATGAGAAAAAATTTGACACAGGTCCAAGGCTGAGGAGCGCTCGCGCAGTACTGAGTTCGGACGACCGCCGGCGCATCGCATTTTGTAGTAATTTTGCAGTTGTATTTATCGTATTAATTGAAATAAGTGATTAAATTCATGATTTAAAATTATAACATCTTTATTTCTCATGAAGTAACAATTGTTCTGGTATAAATTTTGCTTAGTAATATTATCGTAAATAGGAGTAAATCGCAATTAACTTTAAGCGATTTTCGAAGATTTTTAGGTTTAGAATAAGTTTTTTTCTATATTAAATCAAAGATATTTCAAAATTCTAAGGCCGCTACGAACTATACGACTATATAAGAGGTAACATTCTCATTTTTTTATTTAATTTGCTTAGAACAGTAGTTCAATCCAGGAGCTCAAAAAAGTGCCTTTATGAAAATCTTTCTCTGCAGTTTTGGATTTAATTAAAAAGTTAAGCAAAATTTACAAAAAGCGAGGCCGCTACGAACTAGGCCAATAGTTATTCTGCACTATTCAATAGATCAAAATTGTTATTGTGTATTTGTTTCTGAGATCAAGAACGCCAATTTACGCAAAAATCACAGTCGAGATGTAATATGCCTCTTAAGCTCTGACACCGAAAAACTGTGGCTAGTGGCTATATTTTGTAAAATAAAATGACGATAGTGATGTTGGCCGTTTGTATTTTTTATCGAAAAAATAAAGTAATGCTTTTAAATGCGAGTCTCATCTAGATATATTTTTTTGGTATTTCAACCAATATTGCAAACACTAGCTGATCAAAAGGATTGAATCCAATAAAGAATATAAATGTCTACATAAGCTTTGCGGTCCTATGTGCGGCGATCGTTTTGATTTATTTATTATACATTTCGAATTTAGAAAAATACAAATGCTTAGTTATGTAGGGAATAAGTAAGTACATTGCAAAAAATATCAATTGCTGACCCGGCGAACTGCGTACTGCCTTTATAACAGTCGATAAATGTGGCTAACTTTATAACATCTCTCTCTATATTTTCTTTATATCTATCTAGCTTAATTAAATTTAGGACCTTAAAAGCGAAATAAAACACACACAAAAGTTCAATAGTTTACCCGGATAATCTACATATAAAACAAAGTCGTGTTATTTAGAATACTTCTTACTCAAGAATGGCTGGACCGATTTTATGAGAATTATGATATTTTGGAATCTTCTCCATCCCGAATAGCAGAATAACTATTTAAATATAGGAAAAATCTCGGAAAAAAGTAATGCAGAAAATCAATTGTCATTATATAAATTAGGTTTGGTATTCCGCCTTATTCCACAATTGGCAGCTCACGTCAAAAAAGACACAAAGCTTATTCGTACCTACTGTAAATCTGTTACGACAATATAGATAGAAGTGATCACTTTAGAGAGTGATATTGTAATTTAAAGAAAATACTGTAATCATAAGACTAGTTGCAATACTAGCCGATATTTTGGTAAGGAGACGATGGTTATAACTTCAACACTATACTGAAGTATTAATATCGCAGTTTCATTTCATTATAACATAAATTTTACTCCATTTGGTTTATTTTTCTAAAAATATAGAAGATAGAACTATTCCTAATTTCCCAAGAAGTCGTAGGGTACAGAGATTAAGGGATGTCTGTGTTTGGAGAATAGTTATTAGGTAAATACATGGCAACCCTGGCAAACAATACAGTTTGTCTATAAAGTCGTGACATTAAATGATGGCGCCACTAGTATTCATGTAGCAACTCTATACAGTCGGACCAAAATGAT